TCAGCACCAACTCGTGGTACACAAGCCTGCCGGAAGTATGATGAAGACAAAGTACAGTTAATAAGGTTAATTAGGGCTGATTTCATTGACAATAAATCACAAAGAGAGCTGAAACGGTCAGTCATTCGTCAATTATTTAATTAACAGAAAATTGATTGGTGCCGTTATTAAGAAAATAATTAGCAAATGAATTAATAACGAAAATGATCATGAGTTTCAACCCTAGTCACACATTATTTGTCCAGATTTATTGATTAAAGTTTAAAGAAAGCGAAAAAGAAATAGTGAACCCTTCCCATCACAGTTCAAAACCCAAAAATATTTTATTTACAACTTCTTATTTACAACTCAACTTATAAACTAATACTTTTAGCAATAATACAGAGAGAAATCCATAAAATTCAAACTAATTCTACAAGAAGAACAATACCAGCTCTGAGTAAGGCCCCAGTAATGTTTGTGGGATATGGCCCACAATCAGGACTTACCACTCGGGCTGGCGGTTGAAGAGAGTGCTGGAGGGGTGCAGGTACACCACCTGCTGGTCGATCAGGGTACGGTACCCATCATGGGGGTGCTTCCTGGCAGCGTTCCTGAAGAAACCGCTGCAAATTGCTTTCTGGACCCGCATTGTAGCTGTTCCACAAGATACCACGTCCAGCTTGTGTCTGAGGAATATTCAGTGTTTAATAGTCTATATTCTACACTGAAAATGTAGGTTCTCACATCATGTAACGATTATGTTTGATTGAGGGATTGAAGTATTTTTCTCCCAGTCTGGCACACATTAAGATACATTGCTGCATATTTTTATCTATTATTTACTAGGATTGTTTTTACTTCTCTACAGTAATTTCCCCATTCAACACTATCTATGAAAATAATTTGCAGTAATACTCAGCTACAGTTCCATTTCTGTTTTTCCATTTTCATCAAATACAACAAACCCTGATATATACAGAGACAAATCAATCAAATGGATGAAACACAGCTGAATTTCATACCTGTCCATGATGCTTAGCATCTGCTTGCGTATGTCCTGGGCTCTCTTTAAGGAGCGGGCTTGGATGAAGTTCTCGAAACACCAGGGGTTGGAGAACTTGTTGTTCTTCCAGGAGTTGTAGACAGCCAGCAACGTCAGGTGGTCTCCCTCAGGCTGGAAGAACTTTGTCTTTTTCTGGTCAGCAAGGGCCTGTTTGTCCTGAAAATGGAAAGAATTATTTTGTTTTCCTGTCTTTTGTGGCAGCTTTGAGTCTTATTTCACAACGGTTTTAAGCTTTACAATGTTTTCGCCTAGAACAATGTTTTAACTATGTAAAAATAACTTGTTAGTCTGATCATGAATCAAATTTGTATGTCATTGAAGTCATTCTGAAGTCTAATCTAATCAGTACGTCTATTGTTTAGCATTAGCCACATACCTTTGGTCTGTAAAAGATGTTCTGAACAGACAACATGGAGACGATGGTGAGCATCTCTTCACTGCAGCCAAGATGGACGGACATGATCAACATCTTGCAGAGCATTGGCTCCAGGGGGAACTCGGCCATCTGAACCACAGAGACAGGTGTAAATCAAATACAGTCTACACGGTGTACAGTATAGTGCAACAATCTGACTGAGTGGATAGATTATTCTCCTCACCCTTCTACCCAGCCTTGTGAGTAAACCCTCATCATCCAGAGCTCCCAGAGTGTAGAGCTGCTCCATGGCTATGATCAGAGTCTCCATGGGAGGAGCATCCATGAAGTCAAACGCCAGGAGGTCATTAATACCCATCGCCTGCAAGAAAATAATAATAATAATAGTGCAACAAAATCATGAATAATGTTCAGATTAAGATGTCTAATGACATGCATCATTCAACCCAAGGCAGTTAACACAGAGGCAGTTTAATAGATTTAAATTTAGATTTGAAAGTGGTTTAAGTTTGGTTGCATTTGAGATCATCAGGAGGTTGGTTCCATCTGTGTGCAGCATCATAGCTAAAACCTCTGACTCCAGGCTCTACCAGCTGACTGCTTACAGATGTAAGGGCCGTAGGGGGTTTATATTCTTCAAGGAGATCACAAATGTCTTTTTGGCCTGAGATTGTCGAGTACTAGCAGCAGCACTTAAAGAGCTATACTATAAGTAATTGGAAGCCAGTGTAAAGATTTAAGAACAGGTAATGTGCTCAGTTTTCTTGGTTCCTGGAAGAACTCTGGCAGCCACCCGGTGGGAAATGAAAGCATGAATGAGTGTCTCTAAATCTTATCTCTACATGAAACCTCTAATTCTTGCTGATTTAGTTATTGTGTTGATGTAGCTGCTGCAGCTTAGATATTAATCTTTGAAAACACAAACGTTTCTAGCTTGAGTCTTTATAGCTCTGGAATCAAGCTGAGTAATAAATTTAATTCTTTCCTCCATTTTGCCAAAAACAATCGCTACTATCTTGTCTTTATTCAAAGGAAGGAAACTTAACTGCATCCAGCTATTTACTTGCTCGAAGACTTGACAGAGTGAGTCTATGGGAGAATAGTTCATGAGAGAGCTAGTGAAGTGTCGTCCATGTAGCTGTGGTAAGCAACATTATCGTCATGTGTGATTTGACCTACAAGGATCATGTACAGGTCGAATACTAGCGGCTCAAGAATCGAACCCTGGAGGACTCCAGGTTATGTTGATCTGCTCAGATTTATGATCAGTCATGGCCACAATATAACCGTTGCCTTCGGAATATGATATGGACCAACTGCAGACTGTACCAGGCTCACTGACATGGAGATAGCTTCTATAAAAAGACAATGCTCACTGATCAGGAGAAACTGACAAATCAAAGAAAACACAGAAATCATCCCTAACAGTGCTACAAATATCAACATCCTTACCCAAGAGCAGTTAAATGGATGGAAACAGATGATGGAGGTTTTAGAAAAGTGGGTACATTACCTTCAGAGACAGCACAGTGCTGGCCAAGTTGGTTCTCTGGATCTCAGGCACGTTTGTCGTCAGCATCTCGTCTCTGTAGGCTCTCTCAGTGTAGAGCCTGTAACACTTCCCAGGGCCTGTTCTGCCGGCTCGACCTGACCTCTGCTTGGCCTGGGCCTGGAAACACAGCAGGGAGTTTTTAAAAGGATTATGTAGTAAAGATGTATCCATCTATTACATCGCTACCTACTGCCTACTGATTCTTTTTCAACTTTTCAGCATATGATAAACACAGCCGATACCAAGTAGGACAAATGTAAAATGTTTACCTCCAAATGAAAAGGAGTTATGTTAAAAGGGATTACCTGTGAGATGGGAGTCACCACAAGCTGGTCGATACCCGTCTTGGAATTATACACAATCTGTTTGACAAAGCCAGGATCCACCACGTAGTAGATTCCATCGATAGTCAGAGAAGTCTCAGCAATGTTTGTGGCGATGATGACCTGGTGGTAAAAAGACAAATGAGAGAATCAGAAATAAATTACTCATCAAGGTGTATGATTTGTGCTGTGCAGAATGAAATAAAAAGCCTGTTATTGCACAATAAAGTGTACTTCAATTCAGTTATTTTGGAACTTGAATAAGATCAGGAGTAAAAGAACCGGTTTCACTCTTTAAAAATGTTTAACAACTCAGCTTTATCTTAACCAGGGCATTTTTTTACCTTCCTGCTGCCTGGGGGTGCAGGGTCGAAGATCCTGGTCTGCATCTCACTGGGTAGGGCAGAATAAACTGGCAGAATGATCAGTTCAGGAACATCCGGCCCCAGTGACTTCATTCTCTCATACAAGATCTCGCAGGCGGTGTCGATCTCTTCCTGTCCAGTGAGAAACACCAGGATGTCACCTGGACAAAGGACAGGGAGAAAAGGAATGCTTTTTAACATAAATTATCATTCAAAATACCTTTAAACAGTCACCTTAAATTCAAGGTGGTTTAAGAAAACAACTGTACCTGGGGGCTCGGTTAGATGGATCTGCATAACAGTGATGAGACCGGCATCTAGATAGTCTGTTTCAGGTTCTTTGGCGTAGAGAACCTCCACTGGGAAGGTTCTTCCTGGGATGGTGAAGATGGGAGCTTCAAAGAAATACTGGGAGAATTTGACAGCATCCAGCGTAGCAGAGGACACAATCAGCTTCATGTCTTTGCGTTTCTGTATCGTCTAAAAGAGACAGGGGAAGTCATTTTGTGTGAAACTGCATTGCTCGTATGGAATTAGGTCACGTATTATTCTTTAAAAATACTGTATGGGTGGTAGAATGTGAAATACCTTCTTAAGAAGACCAAAGAGCACATCGGTGTGGATTGTCCTCTCATGGGCCTCATCCAGCATAATGAGGGAATACTGGCTCATGTCTGAATCCAGCAGACACTCCCTTTGCAGCATACCATGGGTCATGTACTTGATTACTGTCTCTGTACTGGTGCAGTCCTCAAAACGAATGGTGTAGCCCACCTAAAATTAAAACAGGAAAGCCGTCTTATAAAAACTGATAAATGCTACAGGAGGGAGCTCTTGCTGAGAATTACTTGTCCAGGTTAAGTGGATTACTTACCTCTTGGCCGAGACGGCAACCATACTCCTCAGAGACTCTTTTGGCCACTGACATGGCAGCTACACGACGGGGCTGCGTGCAACCAATCTTCCCCCTGGAGGTGTAGCCTGCCTCTGCCAGGTATTGAGTGATCTGCGTGGTCTTACCGGACCCAGTTTCTCCAACTACAATCAAGATCTGATTATCGTGGACAGCCTATTGAGAGAAAGAATTAACTGGTGTTATGGCGTGTTAATGAAGACTTGAAGAACAACATGGGTGGACTGATGGCTCAGTGGTTGTATGTTCATGTTCTAGGTTAAAATGTGGGTTCAATTCCTCATTCTCATTCTGTTTTCCCATCATTCCTCCTTCCTCTCTGTGCCTAAGAAACCAGTAATGCACTGAAACTTATCTCACCACTACTCATACCTGAACGAGCTGTTCTTTAAGCTTGAAAATAGGCAGACTCTCTCTCTGCTGCAGGATGGAGAGTTCTGTCTTCTTGCCATACGACACCTGGTTCCCTCCGAAGGCATATCTTTTCCACGCTGGAAGATCGACAGGCATAGCGCCGATGCCCCTCATGTTGGCTGCGATCTGCCTCCCTTCATCTGTACGGGAGAGGAACAGGGAGTCAGGACCACTGCAAAGCTCCCGGAAAATCCATCACAACCTCCTCTGCTATTTGATTCAATCAGGATGAACTAGAATGATAATGAACTTCCCAACAAGCCCTTTTTGGAATAAACTATGAGTCAGAGGTAGTAGTAACCAGGTCTGGAAGGAACTGGTAAAGCTGCTGATGTCCCCTCAGGCGACGGAAGTCATAGTGCATTATGACTCTGTGCGCCAGTGTAAACTCATACGGAAGCTAGATTACCATCTCCAGCCATGCCGTGGTAACAATCTAACAGTGTAATAGGCCTGCACAAGACAGACGGGTACATTTTATTTTCTAAATTTTAAGTCTCCGACACACAACATAGATTAATTAATTTCCGGTTGGAAGTCATTTTCGGGGCAAACATTTGTTCCACTGATAAGAATAAGAAATCACACTGTCAGGGTTGCAAACATTCAAATCTACAGCGGTTTTTATAAATTGGAAAATGCATAGTCCAGGTCCTTACAATCCGGCATTGGGTCTATCCAGTTCTTGTGGAGACCGGTAGGGATGGAGTCCATCTCTGCTGCGCGAGCCGCCTGCTTCAGCTCTCTCCTCTCCTTAGCAAGAGCAGTCTGCATCATGGCTGCCTGGGAAAGGGAGCCATCTGGATTCTAATGGACAAAATGAAAACAACTGTTGGTATGAGGACAGAGAAACAAATGTAAAAAATGCTGTCAAACCTCATCAGTATTTACAGACTACAGGCAAACATCCAAACATCCAAACACCAATCCAAATCCAGGTATCTAACGTGCTTCATTTCAAATGAATGAAAATGAATAAAGTACACAGTATCAGAGATGTAAAGCACCACAATCAGACCCAGTGCCAGCCATTTCACGGCTCCAGGCTCAGTCAAACCTACAGTAACAGCAGCAGCACATTACAGCCGCAGACTGGTATGTGTTGTCCATCTAAAAGCAAGGAAAGTAATAGCTGCTGCAATTCTGATACTTGTGCCATTTCCAGGCAATGAGTCTTACATGGACAGTTTTTCTACACACGTTTAGTTTGTGTGGTTTGTTTAGATTGTATATTTCACATTTTAAACCTATAAGAATGAGATACAAGTAGGAACAGTAAAGAGTTCACAATGCTGTGACATTTTCTGTTTTCTCTCCTCAAAAACTTTCCCTTTAAGCCTGACAGTTTTTAATTTGTCCATGGGGGGGAATTCAGGATGGGAGGCAGAAGGACAAAAGAGGGCGAGTTCTGTCTTTGGTGCTGCATATCTGCACTATAGGGTGGTGCAGTTTGCTCTGGACAGGCTGTTTTTATAGCCTATTTATGGTTTAAAGCTTAAAGAGTAATTAAACAACCCCTGACAATGTTTTTGCTAACCTCTAGTGGTTTAAGTTGCTGCAATAATGTAGAAATTGCAACAGAGCACACAAATAATCACAGCTATCAGTGGCCCGAAACTTTTAACCAGAAAAAACATAATTTTCAGCCTGTCATTAAGTTACTGCTTAATGCTAAGCCAACTTAATAGAAGTTTAGAGACAAAAGATACAAATGATAAATTGATTTCAAAAACACAGGCATTAGGTGGCATTAAATATAAAATTGGCTGTAGCTATTATGCTTTTCCTGTACAGCAGATAATTCTGTTTAGCATGGAAGAACTGGTCTGACAACGACCAAATGTTCCATGACATTTTATTAAAAGTAATATTCAGCAAGATGCATAGATCAACAACCTTTGGAGTCTGTATAGATACCTTTACTATCTTGACTGGACTCATGTTGGTGCTATATTTAGTCTGTCCCATCAGGAATGGGGGTTCGTCTTCGACCAGATCAATCTCCACTTCGTCATCTGTAGACGGAATAGTTACACACATTATCATGCAGCAAAAACGTTTCATGTTGCAAAAACCTTCAACTGTTACCCTGAATGTTTCACCTTCGTCATCATCTACTTTGGGAAGGATTCCCGTCTCCTCGTCAAATTCTGGGAACTCTTCTTTAGGAAGCACGTTGGCTGCAATCATCTGAATGGGAGAAAAAAAACTGGGTGGTTCAAAAAGTATTCCCTGGAAGACATCGCCGCTGAGGACTGAAAGACTTTACACCTCTGTGGGAATGTTTGATGAATACCTGTTTAATCTCCCATTTTTCAAGGTCAGTGATTTTGGCGAGCCGCTTGCGTTCTGTTGGGTTTTCCTCCATTTCCAACATGTTTGCTTCAATGGGGCGGTCAGGGTTCCTCATGGCTTCTTCTCCAACTCCAGTGTCCAGGTTTCGTCTCCGGTTGGGGTTCAGGTCCTCACCGGTCTCCTGGTCAACATCCTGGCAACATGGAAACACGTACAATTATTTGACGGTGGGTAAGTAGTTCTATCCTTCAATATTTTACTTTTACAGCTGCTGGCGACCATTATCACACATCATCTGCACACATATGACTGTCCTTACATTGTAAATGGATTTCTCTTGATTCCTCATGGCGTGGTGTATAAACCAACGGTCTTTCACCATTTTATACATGACTCACCTTCATGCTAAGGCTGGCTTTGGTTCCAGTGAATGACAGCACTTTGACTTTAACTTTTTGGCCTTTGGTGACCACGTCAGCTACATTGGCTATACGTCCTTCTTTCCGCAACTCTGAGATGTGCACCAGGCCCTCCCAGCGTTTTCTGCAGACGATTACAGTTACACACTAGAAGTTAGGATCAGGGTGCAAAAAAAGAATACAGACAGACAAGAAGGAGAGAAATCTAAAACTTTTAAGAAGTATAGAAGACAAACAAGCAACACTGAAATCCTCAAAAACAAACAGAACATGTTTTAAAACACATATGTCTCACTGTACTGGTGTGCAGGCCTATACAGACCCACCTAGCTTACTAACCTGAGGCCCTCCAGCTGCACAAAACAGCCAAACTGCATAATACTGCTGATTTTGCCGTTGTAGATGTCGCCCACAACAGGCTCGTCTGGTGGAGGCCGATCCACAAGTCTATCGCGCCAGCGTTCAGAGTCCCCGTCGTCCTTGTTGTTGATGTTGTTGTTGTTGTTGTTGTCATCATCTCTGTGAGGGCTCGGTGGATGGTCACTCCAGCGGGACACCCGTTTCCTTCTGCGCTTGGGGTTTGCTTCTGTGTCACGATCTTTTGATCTGGAGCGAGAACGACTTCGCTTACGTGCGCTTTCTCTGTCTGCGTCTCGACCTCTGTCGCTGTGCAAATTTCTGTCTGACCTGAGGAGAAAATTCCAACTGTTGTCAGTGCGCAGTGGTTATAAAGAGGTGATTCAGCCACTTCTTCTCCAGATGGCAGATATGCACTTTTGGGAGAAAAAAAGCTCTGTTAATTACCCGTTATCAGAGCTCGTTCCACAGAAGTTTGGCATAAGCATCTCCAGCTCCTTCATGGCTGCTGCAGCAACCTGCTCGTCATCTTTATCTGCGTGTCGTGGTGGAATCTGATGGAGAGGTAATAATTAGTGACAACTCCGTACTGTAACTCCGTAAATACTACAAACAGCAAAGGTGCCTCTGAAATGTATTACTCATGTCACTGCTGATTTTCCCACTGACAAAGAGCTGTATTTTACTTTAGAGGTTTACTGGAAGATATGAAGGTTTAAATAAAAACAGCCTTAAAATAGAAGACTGGCACAGCACTCCAATTTATCTTTTTGCCACACAGACGTTCACCCATCCAAAGTGTGGTGTTGACATCAAGGTCAGGGGCAGAACCACATATAACACTCAGTGGTTTATGTGTTAAAATGCCCATATAGCCTGTATAATGTTGGCAAAACCAGGATCTGTGAACCTGTGATCTATTTGTAATCATCAGTGGTTAGGCACTTCATTATGGCTTTAGTAAATGTATATATATCCATTTATATTATTTGGGCACTGAAACCAGTGAAGATGCCATTGAGAGGGGGCAATAGGGACAGAATCCTCCTCCAAAAGGAGACATAGTGGATACACTTACTCAAAAGCTCATTACCACTGGAATTAATGAGATTTAAATAGCTTGTTTCTTATAAAGTGTAAATAAATTGTGTTGAGTTTTGTGGTTTTTCCATGTATTTTATATCATGTGCCTGTGTGTTGAAAGGCTGTAGCTTCCCCTGTTGGGGTGTACTTGTTGTGCCAGTTGTGATAATTTATTATTAATCCCATCTGGATATAATGGTTGTGAAATCGCTATAATACACTCTAAAAGAAGACGTCTGTGTGGCAATATCAGAACTGGAGCGCTGTGCCGGTCTCTGTTAGGATCCAGAACCCGGTCTGTAACGTTTTAATGGGAGTTGTGCCTTTCTATCTCATATCCAATGAGCCTTACCGTCCACACAGGAGCATCTGGTTTACATAAAGCAGGGTATTTCTCTTTCAGCTTGTCCTTCTCACTCTTTGGTTTGACCTCTGCCATACAGAAACACAGAGGACATTATGTCACAGTAGACCTTTAACAAACAAAAGGTCATACATCAAATATATAAAAGGTCTCTTTACCTTTACTCGTAGATGGTAGGGGTCGCATTGTTTGAATAAGTCTGAGTAAATTACCAATAAGGGTATCCTAAAAACAGAAACATTGGGTTAGTGAGGAAACTCAATGCAACAAACCTAAAGAAAACTCAGGTTTTTATTAAGCTGCACACTTACTGTAAAGTCTGCTCCATTTTCACACAGGACTGCTTTGAAGTCCTCAAATGTTGGGTGTTTTTCGGCCAGACTGATGATAAATTCAGCTGTAAAAGAGCAAGTGGTGTTCAGCTATGAATGCTAACTTAGACAGTGACAGAGTTACCATTCTCCTGCCTGTTAATGAGAAATAAGAGTTATATAGCTCTGTACAACAATGCTGTCGTGTCGTAACGTTACCCAGATCTTTCTCGCTTATTCCCAGATGATTCTCCAGCTCCGTGCACACCTTAGACACCAAAGATAAATATTCGAGACGTTTAATTTCGTCTAAAGCAGCCATTTCTCCTGTTTGTTTAGACCTGAGCAGGAAGTTCTTCTTTTTCCTTGGTTTGAGCTCCAACGACCTGTTTCAGTGCTGCTGCCCCCTACCGGCCACCGGCCAGATAACAGCGTGTACAGTTTACACATTTAAACCTAATAAAGTATATTTACTCAGGAACTGTAATGCAGTTTTAAAGTATTAGCACTTTACTCGAGTATTTTTACTGCATGCTACTTTAGACTTGTATTCAGCTACATTTCAGAGGCTAAAACTGTATTGTTTACTCAACTATATACATGTTACAGCTACAGTAACTAGTTACTTTGCAAATGAAGGGTTTAATGTGCAGATAAAACCTAATTAAATACAATGTGTTGTTGTAAATTCAGTGGTAGACAAGCATAAACTATCCAATTATAGTGAGTACTTTTAATGTTGATTCTTTGTGTGCATTTGAGCTGATAATACTCTCATATCCTATGTATCGAACATGTTAAATTCAAAACTTTCAAGACAGTACAATTTAGACTATTGATATATTTATTTAAGTAAGGAACTTTTGCCAATTTGTATACATTTTAACAAAATTTAAATAGAGTGCTCAGAGTTGTTTTTGTAATATGTTTCCCATTCAAATGCCTTAGTTTTTTGTGTGTGGCTTCTCCCTATAAGAACAATAAAGTATCTACTGTACTCTTCCATCTACTCAAAGATCACAACACAATCCAACAGTTAAGAAAATTTTGCATTTAATGAGGACACATTTTCATAGTTCCACTGGCAAGTATAGCAAAGCAAGTCTCAGATACACATACAAGTGAGTGAAAGTTGTCTCAGCTATAGTACAAAAATCTATCAAACATAGAAGCCGTTCCATCCTTACGGTCTGACACCAACGTATTCACGAGTGAAACATTAAAAAGTCCCATTACAATTCTATCAGGTCCTTACTTGGGTGAAACATCGTGTTGTTACAATTTACAGTCAAAATAAATAGTCCACTATTTTCCAGTATCTTTAAAACTGCTGTCACAAAGGACAGATGTGGAAGTTTTCTTTTTGTTCCTGTATTAGTGCTATGAGAAGTAAATGGCTCCGGGTTTTACAACAACAATCAGACTAAAATTCCCACCTAAACCCGACATAGGGATCAATCTACGGCCAGGGGAAATGTGCGATGTGCACAAACAATAAAGCAGGAGTGAATACACAGCTTGAAGTAGAGTAGTGATGGCACAAACTTCCAAGTATTTTACAATGTCCAGCGCTGGTACAGGACGAAACATCTGACATTTTTGTTTGGTATTTGTGACGTCACACACATCAACGGCGCCTGAAGGCCCGAGAGATTCTCCAAGCGTTGGGCTCCTCGTAGCGGTTGTACAGTGGCTCCAGGCGCTGTTGCTTCTTCTGCTTGCTGAGACGTGTGGGGTCGGACACTTTGAAGAAGGCAGGGGAAAACTCCACCAGCCAGCGAGGGTCG